ACGAGGATATTGTCCCCTTCGGTTGCCAAAAATTTCCTGGATTGCCCGTGCACCGCTGTATTGCTCTCCCAGCAGATATCAGGGTGATTAAAGGCGAGATAAAAAGCTGGTGAGAGGAAAAACAGCGGAGCTGCGTCATTTGCAGGTCATAGAAGTAAGAGGTTCCCACTGGCAGATGGAATGGGAGGGACTACCCCTCAGCCAGTGCCAGTGGCAACAAAACCTCTGATGACAAGGAGAAGAAACAAAAGACAAATGGTACAATTAGAAGTCACGCTCGTTATTTACCCAAAGCAAGGCTTTCGCTGAGAATGTAAAAGCAAGGTCAAAGCTTGAGCCTCCCTTAGGTATGCATCACTGTATAACTTACAAAACAGGCTACTGATCCTGTGCATGCAAGTACAAAAGCTAATTTAAAAGCTATGTGGCAATGTGCAACAGCTTATCCGAAGGCAAAAATGAATCCTTTCCATTCATCTCAGTTGTCTTTAGTCAGCAAGTGGTGAAGGAAAGATAAAGTATTCCCTTCACTGAGTTTGTATAATGTCAGATCCAGCTAAACTATTGTACAAATTGTTTTGCTAGTAGGAAGTCAAAGATATAATTACCATCATTGTCTCATATGTATCACTGATAAAAAAAAATTAAAGCAACATGTAACAGCATGCTTAGCAAGATATGAAAATGACCCTTTTACTCTCACTAGCATCTCCAGATACACTAATTGTGAATACAAGTCTCCAGCATTCGTGATTCATTTTAACAAAGCTCTGAAAATGCAGAATGGGTTTCTTTCAATAAAGTAATCAAGAAAAATTTGTTTAAAGCAACAGACCATATTAAGCTACAGGTTCATAGGAATGTTCCTTATAACGTCAGAACTTCATAACCATCTGGGGGGGAGCTTCAGAGAAAGCCACTTTATATGAAAAAAGTGCAATTAAAACAATTATATAAAGATGAACTGAGACAGCGAAACAGAGGTAATGAGCAGTTCTTTTAAATTACTTTCATTCACAAGGGAGACCCACAATTCAGAGGCTCTGTTCAGTGATTTACAGTTCATTCTCTTATTGTTCTAGAACATGTCTGTCTATAGGGTGTGTTGGTCCCAGGACATTAGAGAGACACAAGGAGACTGAGGTAATATCTTTTATTGGACCAACTTCTGTTGGTGAGAGAAACAAGCTTAAGCTTACTATAAAAATAGTAAATGAAACAATGAATTCACACTACTGTGGCTCTTTAGGGTAATGCTGATCACTAATTTGGCTCCTGAATCACTGAGGTCTGAGTATCACTGCCCTAAAGTCTTTTCATATGGATCCCATGTGACTCTAGTCGTTTAACAAATAGCACAATTTTTTTAAAATCACCTTTTATGGAAGGAACTCTATTTCCCCCAATATTTCTTCCTCCGCTTCTGGGACACATGTTCTATTGCTAGCATCTCTCCCATATTCTCCTTTTTACACAGTAGGGCAAAGAATTTAATTCCCCTTGCATGAATTAAAATGTTTGACTTCAATTTTCTTTTCCATCATTAAATTGCTGGTCATCCCTTGGAAAACCTACTGTCTCCATATCCCTCACTACGTTGTTCCTTAAGTGACTGAATGTCTCATTGCCTAAAAGGGTAAGACAAACAATCTTACTTTTATTCTCCATGTTTGTGTTGAGGGTTTTTGTTTTATTTTTAGTCACAATTCACGTCATTCTGTAAACTTGCTAATTCTCCATTGTACCAGATATTTTATATCACTGGATTAGTTTTTTCATAACCTCTATTGTCCATACACAATTGCGTTATTTCTAGATGGCAGTAATATGGGAAAGCAGCATGGTCTTGTGAGGGTTAGGAGCTGTGTGGCCTAATTCTCAGCTTCCATTGACTTCAACAGAACTTGAGAGTGCATAGCACTTTTAAAAGCCATGCCAACTGAATTTTTTGCCAATGATTCCACAGACGACTTCTTGAGCAACCATGGGCAAGCCACAAACTCTGAGCCTTATAGTTTCTTTATCTGTAAAATAGAGATGATATTTCCCTACTTAACATGGAGGGGAAATTATTGTTTGCATGGTACTTTGAGAAACTCAGATAAAAGATGCGATAAAAAGGTACATTTAAAATGTCTGCTATACATTAAAATTAAATTGCCAATATAACTATTTCCTTTGAGAGCATGTTTTCACTTACAAAAGCGACCTGGCCAGACAGTATATTGCAGTTTATAAATGATTACTTAACACACACTCCCAGATAGTTCTATAAGATCATAGAGACATCAAAAACTAAACTAGAAAGACACACAGTTCTGACATAGGAATGGGTGGCAGATTAATTCTTCGACAGAAAACATCCTAAATGGGCACTAAACATCCTAAACATCAAACAATGGAAAGGACTTGTCAGCAAAACTGGTTTCACATTAGCAAAGTAATTCATTGTCAATAAAGAAAAAAACAACCGAGTCTCTTCTCAAAAATATATCACTATTTGAAAATGCACAAGTTTGTTACATTACTTGTAACTAATTGATTCCCCAATTTAATGATACAAAAAGGGACTCATTGCCAAGAAGCTGAAATAAAAACCACAGGGAAAGGCAGTATTTTGCTGCTATCACAAGTCTTCCCATCTTTGTTGTCAGGGCTATCATGAGATACATAAGGAAGAAAAAAAATCGATATAAATTGGTATGCCACTAACCTCCTTGCTGATCCCGACGACTCTGAGAATGGAGGAGAAAGAGATTCTGAGTCCTCAGCCAAATTATTGCTTGTGTCAGAATCAGGTATTTCGGCTTTAGGTAACTGATCTGTTACAAAGTTCTGGTCAGTGCGTTGTTTTTTAATATTCTGTTCTCCTGGCAGAAATAATACAAGACAGAGATTAATACCTGGTAAATAGTTTAGTTTCCCTTTTATGTTTTTTTTCCTGTTTGTTATTCCCCAACTTGGAAAAGCCAAAAAAAAAATTTAAATCATATTTCAAACATATTTCCTCCCCTCCTTTGACTACCTGTGCAAGACTTCTATCACTGTTTCAATAAACTGCCTAATTTTCCCCCCACATAGTAAACACCCACCATGAACCAGAGATAACAGCAACATTTGTCCAATATCTATTTTAAGCGAGGGTGAGCGAAATTGCCAAGGCTGTGTATGTGCAGTTGTCTCCAATCACAGGAACTGACATTATATTTTAAAAATTAGCAAATACTCAACATGTGGCAGCTCTGTTTCCTGGTGCCCAGTATAAATTCACTTTATATCATTACTGGCCACAGTTTTATAACTTGGAAGTTTGACAGCTCAAGGTAATAAGGTGGCTGTAAATAAAACTAAGCTGATGATTTGCCAATGCCTCTGGAAAGACAGAAAAGTCAATATACTGCCTTTTTTGTTTTTTTTTTAAGTTAAGGAAGCATGTCTAGGCAATACTATTCTAAAACCATTCTATTATTATTTTATATTTGACAAATGTTTTTATCAGTAGTTACCCCCAAGTGATTCCCTTTGCCATTCCAGAGGGACAAAGATGTCCGTTATTCCCTAGAAAATATTATAAAGAAACTAAATTGTTTTTATACCTTGTCTACACTCATTTTCCAATGTAGTTATGCCCATATTAAAACCATGCTTAGAAACAATGCTCAAACCCTGCTAAGCATTAGTCCCTACTATGGTAATTTGCAATAACAAGTGTCCTGCAAATACCGGAAATGTAAACCATGATCATTTAGAAGAAAAACATTTCAAGAACGACTGTCAACCATGACTTTGCCTAGCACTGCAGAACTGATCTTGACAAAATGCCAAATACTTTTGTAGCTACAGTGTGGATAAACGCTTCAAGGCATTTCGTTTTAGGCACAGTTTCCCTCGCCTTCAAATAAAATATCAAGAGGATTCATCTTGCCAGTTGCAAATGCACTGTAAAATTCAGTGAGTTAGATGGTCAATTAGCATAAATCAGCATAGCTCTATTGAAATTAATGGATTAGAAATGGGAAAGATCTATTAGGTCTGTATATCCCCCAAAAGACGAAGTATCCAAAATTAAAACTCTTTTTATACACGGCCTTAGTCAAAAACCAAATCAAACAATATTTAAAGAAAACAAAAATATTATGAAGATTAGAAATTTAAGACACAAAGGCGGTCAAGAGCAAGTGAGATAGTCTTTATCATCTTTCCTCAGATTCAGTCATCATCAAAAACAGAACCTGCCCACTGACAGATATTGCAACCACATGCAGAATCTTTGGGGAACACTGTACTAACTTTATAAATACTATATATATACTATATATATATATATATATATATATATATATACACACACACACACACACACACACACACACACTATATACTACTATAAT